AAAAAAAAAAACAAAAAAAAAAAAACTAAATTCCAGCCAAAGTTCCCTATCATTTGAAAGATGCTGGTACCCTTAGGCAAATATCTAAGAACATATCCTCAGGGTGGAGCTCCAGAAGTTCAGACCAATGCCACGGTCCATGGCTAAGTGCTGCCTCGTCTCTGCCGCTTAAAACGTTTAGTTAGTTTGTATATTTTGGGGCGGGTATGGGAGATGGATCTCGAGTCCTTGCACTTTTGAGGTAGGTGGTGGACTCACTGAGCCAAATCTGCAGTATGTTTGTACATTTTTTTAAAGACTCTATAATTTTGTGTCTAAATGTTGGTACAAAGTATTCTTTCTTAGCTGTTGTCACTCCCAGAAAGAAGTATATTTATCTTAGTATAGAACTTCCCTAAGATCATTAGCCTTTAGAATAATAACCCATGGTCTGCAGCCTAAGCCATGGATCCACTCTTATCAATCATAAGAACTGCCACCATGCAAGCACTAACTGGACCCTCTGCTGTCTAAAAGTTCTTAGCAGGTGGCATAGCACCCCTGAGAAGTAGCCCCTATTAACTCCATGTTACAGGTAGAGGTAGCAGGGTTGGGTGAGGTTAACATGCTGCTCAAGGACACACAGATAAGCGGCAGAGCTGGAACTCAGACTCAGAGCTTGTAGGCCCAAGCTGCTGCCTTCTCAGCCATGGGCTGGGGTATCTCCTTGTGGTGTTCCTTCATTCTATAAAGAGCATCCACTGAGTCCAGAGGCCTGACCTTAACCTCCAGTGAATAATTTGAATGCTTTGGGTACTTACACTGGTTCCTTTATTTGCTTACTTCTTACAAATTAAATAAAATAGAAATTATGTATACACACACACACACACACACACATATATATATATGTATATATATATTTGCATTCATTCTTATATCTGAGTCCCTTCAAATATTCAAGAAATATATCTGATCAAGACAAATGATTTAGATGTGGAATTGTCCTTAAGAAAGAAAAAAATAAAGATATCTAAATCATGTCTGTAATTCAAATAGAGTTGTTGGCAGATAAAACATCTTTTTTCCGGACTCTTTGTTCTGGCAATATATCTTTGGGACACTAAAAAAAAGCACATAAAGGCAAAATGTAATCTACTCTTTACCATAAAGCATTTCAAACAAAAACTTCTTCAGGCTCGCTTTTTAAAACATTTGCAAAATGAAGTTGCTATAGACACCTGGCACAGAAATGTCCTTTCTGATTAAAGCCTGAGAATATAAATAAGTTGTTATTTTTCCTTTTTTTTTCCTCTACTTCATTAAGAATGGTGTCTTAGCCATAAAGATTAGTTCTTAAAAATTAATGTTTTTCTTAATTTCTTCTCCAACAGGGGACTTATTATGTTTGAAGATGAAATCTATATCTTAGAACCAATGAAGACGGACACTGATAGATACAAACTCTTCCCAGCAAAGAACCTGACAAGAATCTGGGGGTCGTGTGGGTCTCATCATAACACATCGGGCCTAGCCACAGATGGCTCATTCCCAGCCTTCTCTCAGATGAGGGCAAGAAGGGTAAGAGGGGAGCCCAAATTCATATTTCTGGGGAGTTGGGGGCTTAAGCTAGGGGCACTGATGCTAGGAGAAGGTGCTGGGCATCACGGAGCAGACCATAATCATAGACTGAAATCTACATCACTATTGCAAATGCCAGTCTCAGATTCACTCAGATATTCCTGTAAAGTCATCATCATCATCATCATCAGGGCCAGGAGACGACAAAAGTCAGCATTCATCACATCTTCTGAGGATGTGTATGATGGGCCTAGACCCAGAGTCGAGCTTCACCATGGCAAACAACAAACATGGGCCATGGCCCACTCCCTGGCTGCTCTCCTAGTGGAAGAGAGAGAGGTCAGATGGAGGTTTCTTCATTTGCCTTACAGTTAGGTTCTCATAATAGGTTACAGAAAAGGCTCCATCTTTGCCCACCTGTCTATGCATAGATGCACCGAGTCCTTCTCTCTGTGGTTTTGCTAAGGAGGGTTGCTTACTGCAGGCCACACTGAAGTGCCTGTCCTTGCTCCTCCTGGGACTGCAGTTGTATGTACTTTCTGGCCACCCACCCTGGTTCTGCTAACAGAAGGTCTCCTTCTGCCACAGCGCTGGAAAGAGTGATTATCAATGCGATCCTCTCGGCAGACAGACTCCCTCTCCCTGACGCTTTCCTTTCCATGGGCCTGCATGAATCCTCTGCCTCAATGGCTGCCTGTCTCTTGACATCTGCATAACCTGGGCTCACAGGCCACAGTGGAGCTCCAGGAGCACAGAGTAAAAGTATCCTCCCCCCACCACCATTAGATTGGAGGCCATGAATTTAAATGAGCGCAACAAGATTATCACCAATTGCCTGATATTTTTATATATGGATTTCCTGTTCTTCAATTGACAAGAAATTTTTTAAAAATTGAAGAGCAGATGTCACTCATGCTAACATTTGACCATCAGGGGACAGGATCTTCATGTTTCTGCTTACTTCTGTCTCTCCTAACGGTTTGAGTAGACAGACTACTACTTGACATTCAACATTTCATGAATATTATTCCCGGTTCATTCTAAATCCTTCTCATAAATTCAACTAGTAAGTCTTATCCTACATGATTCTTTCTGATTCCTAAAATTCTCTTCATACCTATGGAGAAGCGACTATTCCTCTGAACTGCTCTCAACTGAAAAAGTTCAGGGAACTTGACTTTAATTTTACATTCATTCTTTCAGAACAGGTTTCAGCCTTTGTGGTTCTAACCTCTGTTACTGGCTTCCCAAGGCTTTCCATGGCAGGTACCCGAAACCTCATTTTCTTTTTAATTTCTTTTTGTTTTTTCCCCTGCCCCATTGCAGGACAGAAGAGCTCTCCTATCTGCCACTGTGCCTTACCTCAACACTGATGTGACAGGGGTGGAGGCGGGGGGTAATCTGAATCCCAGAGACCAGAATTTGAAAATAGCAGCAGTCAAGTTCAGCAGCGGCAGCAGCTGCCAAGCTGTTCCCTTGTGCCTGTCTCCCCGCTCCCCACTTGAGTGACAGATTTAAGAGTTGGAATCACCTCTGAGTTTCCAAGCGTGCTTTCTGTACTCTTCAAACACATTTGCCTTTGATTCCAGAGCTTGGACAAGATGTGATTAAGCTGTAGCTTTACCAGTCATGAACAAGTCGAACATTTGCACTTTGTTTTGCAGGCCCTTTGCTTTGAGTAGCTTATTGAAAGCCTGTTATTGACGTTATGTGATTTATAAACTTGACAGCTTAAATGACACTCAAAAATGTTTGCCATTTCATTTAGAAGCACAAACTTGATCTGGATTTGCCAACCGTATTTTAATTCTTTAAGCATACAGCTCTCTGGGACTACAATTGGCACAGTCATTTTGACTTGTAGAGAGATGGAGAGAACCTGAATAATGATGCTGTTTTGTTAATAATGCATACTGAAGTGTAAATGAACCTTTAAATTGAAAAGGAAACGAAGGCATCCATGCTGTTCACCTTGGTTCTATTGCTCTAGAAATAGTTGTGATTGTTTTCATGCAAGAGAAAATGTCCTTGACCTACACTCTTTGTATATAATGAAAATTGTACAAAAATAATTTTCAAATGAGTGGAATATCTGGGAATGGAAATTACTTAGATTGTTTCAGATAACACCTATGATAAATATGAAAGGCACATGTTCAAGTTACATGCCATTTGCCTGTCTTGTTTATGCTGCTTTTATTTTATGCTAAAAAAAATCAATATAATTGCGGCTAATTAATCTTGTTTATGCAGCACAGCAACCATATTCGCCTTTTCCCAGCATTTCCCTGCCCCCGCTAAATGTTAACTATTGCAAAAGATTGGTTTGTACACTCCAATTTTTCTGCAGAAGTTTGTGCTTTTCTTCACAGAGCATCAGGAATCAATCAGCACTCAGAGGCTACACTGGCTATAATGTAATCCTGGGCTGTTTGTCATTTTTACAAGGTTCTACATTAAATATTAGTGAGCACCCAAGTTGCTTCCAGAAGGGTACAGAGAGACCAGGGCATCATAGCCTCCTCTTCCCTCTGCAGGTTTTTAAGTCCAACCTGAAGTGCCCTTACCATTCAGCTCACCTGCATGGACTCCTTCCCTCTCCATTGGCTTTGCATTCAAGAATGGAAACTAATTTCAACATCTACTTTGGCAAACTACAAGAGAGGCAGAGGCTAAATCCACTACTGGAGAAAAATCACATAATACATCCCAAAGGCAAATGGAAATTACTGCTAAATTATCCTTTCTTTAGGGATTATCTCTACCATTGTTCCCCTCCATTAGTATGGATAATTATGAGTCAAATACAAAAATTGCTGCCTGCTCTGGGAAAGGATGTTTGCTTGGGCCACTGGGTACATTCAGAACAGTGAGGCAGGGAGATGCTGCTGTGTGTCCTCAGATGCAGCTGTGCTGAGATTACTGGTGCCACTGCTTCAGTGCCCCAGGCAGCCCATTAAATCTGGGTAGTAGGAGCCACAGTATGGTAGCGTCATTAACCGTAATGGTAATATCTTGCACATGTAGCATTGCACAGTAAGTAACTGAGTCTCAGGAACTTACTAGACTCGTTGGAAAGTTCATTAGTTATATCAGGAATGTTTAATTCCTCTCTAACATAGCCATCCCCACCTCCATACTTCCCCTACGACTGTACCAAGCTCTCTTTCTGCCTTGGTTATACTTAAGTTCTAGGATGGGAGATTGGGAGGCATCACCACTTCCTGGGCTCTGAATATCTGTCCATATGAGCTGTGGCTCCACACTCCTAGGGTGCCTACTGAGTCTCAAGTTCACTGAAACTGTGGACAAATAAATAATAGATCTCACTTGCTCCGCTGCTCTTTCGGACCCAATTTCACTGCTCCCCATTCGTCCTGATTGACCTTTGCCTGTAAGAGTGAGCGCACTCTCCTGGTGTGTTGTAGTGTTCCATGGCCGGTGCTGCCGGCCCACACATGAGCCAGGCCTCAGAGGCCGTGTCCCATGTGGATTCGGTCAGTGTGAATTCTCTCCAGGCAAGTCATTGTCAAGTGGTGGCGATGGCCTCTGACGCAAGAGTTCAGGGATCCACTTGTCTGTGTGCTAAAGTGACCTTGCAGGGGGCACGGAGATATGTTGACAGATTTCTCCTTGTTCAGGAAGATAAACCAGACTTTTGATTCATCTCATTTGCCGACCTTACCAGCAATAGAAATATTGGCCCAGGTCATCATTATGCCTATTTTGTTGTTGTTTATTTGTATCACACCCAACGGGAATGTATTTGTCCATCTCCCCAATCTAGAGACCATAGCTGATGCTACAAAACCCGCATCAGCTTCTCCCCCCGTCCCCCGCCCCATGCCACTGCCTAACTTCCTCACTGCCCTCATGTGCTCCTCATAGCCACCAGAGTGATGTTTTTTAAATCTCCCATTCTGGGGCTGTCACTGTTCTTTGATTATTAGACTACCATTCGGCCTCTGTCCCTACTCCACTCACTCTCAAGACTCTAGCCACCCTGCGTGTGGTGACAGCACTGCCAGCTCTCTTGTCCTCCACCTCAGGACTTCTCTCTATGCTGTTTCACTCACCTGAAGCACTGCTCCCAGCACCCTTCCACACATCCTGCCTCCCACCCTCTAGGTCTCAGCTAGCTTAGCACCTGCCCCACCCCATCTTTATCCTTACTGCAAAACCCTGTCTAGACTCTTTGTTGCCCAGACTATGTTGTATCTTTTTGAATCCTTCTCCCAAACCCACACTAAAATGTGACCTTCGTGTGGGCAGGAACCTTGGTCTTGGGCGTCCCCATGCCCCCAGCATGCAACACGGCAGCTGGTGCAGAGCCAGCTTCCAGTAGCCACTGGGAGATGAAGGAATGCTGTGCAAACAGTCGGAAAACACGAAGAAGGGGTTGCTGTAGGAACTCGCTGTAGCCCTCACCCAGGCTTGCTTTTCTAACGGGAAGTGTGTGAAGTTCTCAGGGCCAGAGCTCACTGCAGGATGTTTGGGGGATGGTCTGTCTCTGGGAACTTGGCTGCCGTGACTTTGAGAAGCCCAAGAACTGCTTCTCTCTTAAGCAAGTCTCTGGAATGCCTCTGTCCTCACCTTGGAGTGGGGATTGTTGGGGCTTTCCCAGAACCCAGGTTCCTGTTTGGGGACAGGCTTTTGTTCATAATTCCCAAAATGAAAATTCACTCAAGCGACTGACTTCAAGCACTGTTCTCCATATCACAAATTTCAAGTCTGATTCCTTTTTGCGTTTTAAACTGGATTGCCTAGATAGGTGAAAATCATGTGGAGGTAATTTAAGCCTCTATAAGTGAGAGCAAACCTTTGTGGCACAGAGCCGGCCACTCCCCCGTGGCTTTTTATTATGATGTGGTTAAGCTTCTCTCTGAGCTTGCAATTCTCTGAATTCATGAGAAAATGTGGACTTCTCTGAAAAGTGCAGAGACAGGAAAATTGTGTTCATGTGTTTGTTTTCATTATCTGGAATTCTGTATTTTCTAGATGATGATCTGAGGCCAGTTGGAAATATCCTCTGGTCGTTGATTTCACTCTCTGCTGTCTGAAAAGCATAAATGTCTAAACAACTGAAGTCCTTTCAATAGGTTTTCTGATGAGAGATTAATTTCTTCTTTCATTTCCTGAGCTATACTGTCTTCTGCCTAATTTGCTGAATGTGTTTGTGTTTAATCAGGGAACTGTGGGTAAGAGAGATGTCTGTTTCTTTGACCCTTCAGTAAGGAAAAGGGGTGAGACCCTCACACTTCCAGAAAGTGTCTCATTTTGTTTGCACACTTGAGCACTACAGGGGCTTATTTTTTTTCCCTTTATACATGCATAGTTATCACCATAAAACCTGCCTATTCATACAGCTACAAAGCTTGACATTTTTTTTTCTTGCAATGCTGTAAAAGTATGAGAAATTATACCTTTCATGATGCTTTATTTTCCCTTCCTCCATGAGGTTTCCAGATTTCTTTAGGGACGCTAAATTCATGAATCAGCACAGCTGGGCGGCAAGCAGGAACACCGCTATAATACAAACATTTTTCTTGTAAAAATCTGTTTGGAAGATCCTGGACTGATGGGGATTTGTTTTATAAAGGATGTTTCCCTCAGGATTATGTGACTGGAAGTCTGATTCAAAGCATGCTTCACTCCTTTTTGCTTTTGTCTGAAGAGTGGTTAAGACATGCAAGTGTTCGACTTGAGCACGGTATGTACTTAACTCATAAACCAGCAATCTCAGTCGGGGGGACCAGAGACCAGCCCGACCCCCGCTTCCTCCAACTGCGTGTTATTGCAGAGCCAGAAGGCCTTGGTTATTGTTTTTAATGTTTGCTTTTTGAGACCACCCTCTATGAATTGCTTCATTTCTCCTAAAAATGCCTTTGGGATTCTCCCAGTAATTCATGGAAGTGTGTGAATGGTTTTAGAGGAAGCTTGATTAAAATGAGCACACTTCTTTGGCCTCCTTATTTGGGATCCATATTTCGGCTGTTGGAACCACCCCACTCCTAAACCTTGATCTATAGTTTCCATACTCTTCTTGACTGCTCTACTCTTAACAAGTCCCTAATCTCCAGTAGCATATTTCTGTCTTATTTTTATTGTTTCTTTCTGGTCTCTCTCTCTCTCTCAACTCCTTCACATTTTTCTCTTAGTCCTTCCTTCTCGCCTTTCTGTGCATCAACCTGGCTGCTCCCTTTAGTCCAGACCACCCCAGTCTTCTGTTGCTTCTAACCAGATTTTTAGATGATCATCCACAAGCATAGGCTCCCTGGAATGGACTTCTCAGTGTTTCCTCAGGATTATGCAATTTCTGTCCAAAGTATAGTTTCCTCCACTTTTCTCAAATTGCTAAGCAGGTACATTTGGACCATAGAGGTGATGAGAACACCTGGGACACTAAATTCCCCCATCTTTAATGGTTATCGCATGTGCCACATGTGGTCTGAAGGGAGTGGCCTTTGACTGGTTCCCCTTCTGAAGAAAGCCTGGCTTTTGTTAATGTGGCTCATTTTATTCAGTAATGATCTTGACCTTTTCTAATCCTACAATCAGTGATTCAGCAGGAAGGTTAAACTCCTTTTTGTGATTTCTCTAGTGGAAGTAGAAACTAATCACTCATGTTGAAAATATTTTTGCAAGAAGGTAGTAGGGGTTGGGGGTCCACTTCTAGGTGGAGTAAATGGAGTATATCAAGCCAGGTGGGGATAGAGTTCCAGGGGTTGGGTTGAGATATTGGCAGTGTTCTGGAAGCCCCAGTTTGGTATTAAGGAAAATTAAATTTACATTTACTTTTGGCAGCATAAAAGAGAGACCCTCCCGATGACCAAGTATGTAGAGCTGGTTATTGTAGCAGACAACAGAGAGGTAAGAACTTTTAGAAATCTCTCAGTACAGTTTGCCAAGAAAAAAGGAAATGTTTAGTAAATTAGTACTTTCTTTAACTTTATTCTCTATACATTCTTCAAAGTATTGAAAAAGTGGTTTTCTACTTTTATAAAGCATAGACTATTAAAAATATATCTGATATTATAAAATAGCAGCAACACCTGCAGAAAAAGAACAGAATTTCTCTCTCATTAAGCTCTCCAAACAAGGAGAATCATTTGAGGGGAAAAAAATGGATGGCTTTAGGTTGTATTCTAAAACATTTTTTGGAAATTAAGCTTTTTGTTGTTGTTGCTATTGCTTTGTTTTTTGTTTGTTTGTTTGTTACCGGGGTTTGAACTTGGGACCTTTTGCTTGCAAGGCAGGAGGCAGAACCACTGAGCTAAATCCTAGGCCCTGTAAGTTAAGTTTTTTAAGTGTCTAATAGGTCCTAAACCAGAATGAATAAATAAATGAAGACATAAAAATCCTACCATTTTGAGGTCTGATATAGTACTATGTTGGTTTTCTTTCTTTTAATTAATTTTAATTAGTTTTTTTAATGATCTTCTCTGTATTTATATATTGTTTCTTGACACAGTATGACTCAGGTGAGGCTCTCATAGACTCATTCAACACAAATGAATGGAAAAAGCTTGACAATTTCTCAGAAAATGTTCCCATTCTGGAAGGTCAGATTAGAGAGAAGAATGGGGAATTTATTAACTTTTTATCAATCCTCCTAAGTATTGTTTGACACATTGCCAAGAGCTTCTATTGCTTTTACTATTCAATTTTTTAAAACAAACACAAAGAAAGTTTCTCGGGAAGTTAAAATCAAGTTGATGATATGAAAAATGGCTTTGGATTGCCTTTTCATTGTCTGTTTTCTCTTTGCCAAGATGTGTCACTGGTTCTATTATTTATGAGGCTGGAAAGATTGCAGAAGTTATTGTCTTGCAAGCACTTGGCTTCGGTGAATTTCAGGGAGTTCAGGGAGTCCCCAACTGGGGAAATGACTCTGGATGTGAGTTTGTTTCACCGTAAAAGACAGAGGGCCCTGGGTGTTTTATAAAAGCCCAAGGCTTCACATTTCCAGGAGCTGGGAGGATGAGATTTGATTGATATTCTTGATGTTATTAATGCTGACATTTAAAATTATTAAGTTTCAGAGGCAAGGAAAAGATCTGGAAAAAGTTAAGCAGCGATTAATAGAGATCGCTAATCACGTTGACAAGGTAAGTTCTTTTCTGAGTAATTAAATCACTCAAATCATGTAAATGTTTGGAAGTGAGGTTGAGAGGATTAAGTGCACCTCATCTGACTTAGCAGAGAGACCAAGTTCTGCTTCTGGGTCCTGGGCTGGAAGCTGGAATATCTTGTCTTCTGAGTATCCCAGATCCTGGGCAGGTTTGGGAGATGCCAGCCATGGCAGCCTGTACTGGGGTGGCCTTGAGGGCACAACTTCTACAGGCTTGCTTCAGTCAGGCTGAGTTCCAGTCTGTGGAGATCTTGGACTCCTCAGTTAGATCCAGAACCTCTACACGGTGAATTGCACCCACTGAGAACTCCTGAGCTGGGCCTCTTCTCTGGTTTTCCAGGCAGATCCCTCTATGGGTGTGGTCCTAGGGTCAGGCTCTGATGCCTAAGGAAGGTACAGGCTCCAGTCTCCTGGGATGCAGCTCAGTGAGCTATTGGAAAAATCCCTCACTGAGAACAAGTAGGTTGGAACTCTACTTTTCACAGAGATGATTTCCCAGCTGGAAGAGCCTCTAGAAATCTAGTCCATCCGGAGAATATTTACTCATGAACTGCTCCTTCCACCACTTGATTACAAGGAAATGGTGATACTTCTGTCTATAGCACCTATCCTCTATCAATACATCCTGTGGGGCAGAACCAGGGCTATTTGGGGCTGATGCTCCCTGCCTAAAGCAGGGCTTTTGACGCTGACCTGAATACTGGTGTTGCCTGAAAAGCTTGCAGAGGCCTTGCTGCTTGTCTATGGGGTATGGGGCAGGATATAGGTTTGACATCGATCATTTTAGAAGCTCCCTAGCAACTCTAATGGGCAGTGTGACTGGTAAACATTGTCCTAAAGCCACTGGAGCCTCTCAGCAATACCGTGTGTCCTGCCTATATAAGGACATTGTGAAAGGAGGTGCTTGATCATTGTCAAGCCTTTCACAGCCAGGGTCCTATGAAGTGGTCACATTTTATACAGAGCAGCTCGATGCCATGAATGATGCCATGAATGGAACCGTGAATGGCAGTCTCAGGGTACAAAGAAGGAAAGCAATTCCCTTCTTCTGGGGCCAGGGAGAACTTGCAGGAAGGGAAGCCTGAAAGGGGAAAGGTAAGTGAGCTTGACCAGCAGCAGAGCAGGAAGAGCCTGGTATGTACCCACCGGTCTGTGCATGATGACTAACGAGAGTGTGCGTGCACAAATGTGGATGTATATATGTGTTCCTATAGGTGCGTACATGTGTTCAGGAATACATGTGTGTCTGTGTATGCATATGTGTGTGAATGCAAGCTTGTGTTTGTCTGTGGATGCATGCATGTGCACCTAGGGAGGGCAGGAGGAGCTATAGATGTCCACAGCTCAAATGTCCTCAAGGCTAATAGACAGCCACACAAATGCTTTTAAACAGAGGAAGGACACACTGGATTATACAAAGAAGTCCAGCAGTTAGTGTGGAGGATGGGGTAACCATTGACAAGTAGGGCAGGTAGAAGTTTATTTCACAGGAGTGATAAAGGGCAAGGAAATTGGGTATGTGAGGACGAGGATTAGAGATATTTGTGCATTTGTGGGACATGGTGACTGATCAATGTTGTTAGCAGTTGCTGTGTACCAGCTGTAAAGGCTTTGCATACACTTTTTTCTTTTTTTTTGGTACCAGGAATCAAACTCAGGACCTTGCACTTGCGAGGCAGAACCACTGAGCTAAATTCCCACTGCATGCACTCTTGTAGGCATTACTATTCCCATCTTTATAGCAGAAGAAGCTAGGCTTTGCAGAGGTTAATAATTATGTATTCAAGCAACATTAAAGTGCAAGCCAGGAATGATCTGCCTCTCTCTAACCCCAAAAGCAACTCTTTTCCTTGATTTCTACCACTTGCCATGAGTTTGGAGCTCTGTGACCCGGTAGAGGCTGGGGGAGAATGGGTAAACTGCAAATGGTAGTAAAGTGGCAGGTGGATGACAATTAGATCCCAGGAAAACAGGAGTGGGGAGGGGCTTTTGTGGGGCACTCTGAGTAGTCAAGGTCTGGGCTCCGCACATAGAGGCTGTGGCTGGGGGGAACTTTTTGAAAGTCAGAAATAAGCAGATGGCCATCAATATCCTGGGATGATATTATGCTAGTCTACCAGGCAAATCGCAGGCACCCCATGCTTGTTGATGTATTTTCAGCAACAACTTTTTGTACATTAAACTTATTCATGCCCCAGGCCCATCCCAAGCCAACCAGATCAGAATCCCTGTCAAGGGCTGTAACGTAAGAGTCAAAGCTGGATCACAGGCAGTCTAGCCATTAGAAGCCTCTTGGGAGTTTTGTTTGTTTCTTTACGAATTTACTTTTTGAAATACCAACTCCCAAGTAAGTCTCAGCCCAGGGATTCTGAAACTAATGGCTAGATAGGGGATTGGGTATTGTCCAAGGTCCTCCAGTGAGAGGCACTGATGGACAGGTGGAAGATTAAAGTAGCTGAGTTACATGAACAGGCCACTGCTCCATTGCCTGGAAGGCCTCCAACTATCAGATTTTACAGAAGGAATAGAACATGAGTTATTCTCAGGCCTCAGAAATCTCAGGGGTTGATGAATTATATTAAAAAACCAAAATGGAAATTGCTGTTACCCCTTGTTAAAATGTTTCAGCACCATGTGTTTTGGCCCTCTGTGTTTATAGGTCTTTGCATATTGTTCTAGGTTACATCTTGCTTCAATGTACAAAACAAAAAAAAATGAGTCTGTTGATGGATGAACCTGGCTCTGTGGGGTGTTCCAAACTTCAGTTTTGCAACTCTACACATGGGAGAGTCTAGGCCCAGAAAGCAGTGACTATGCCAGTGGTCACTTCCTCATTTCCTGGCCTCTGGGCTCTGCTGGCCCATTCTAAATTACTAACTACTTGGTTGTACTGGCTTGGAGAGTGAGAAGGATATTCCAGAATGGGGAAGATACAGAAGGGTTTTAGTGACAAAGGTGACATTGTGAAACATTCAGGAAATCCCCTGTAAGCGAAACACAAAACATATGTTTGACACTTGTGCTTCTAGGCCAAACTACCAGGCATTTTTTCCCAGTCCTGATTAAATCACAGCCAACAGAATGTACACTTGCTAAAAGGTGACCATTGAAGCTGTACCATTTGAGCCTTCCTTCCAGCCCATCCCCTACTTCTCAGTAAATTTTCACCTGCTGGGAATTCCTTAGGGTCCAATTTCCCTGACTGTTATGGTTGAGATCCAACATGTCCCCCAAAATGGTTTATTGTGTTGAAGGCTTTGTCATTCGCTGGTGGGCTTTTGGGAGGTGTTTTGACCATAATAGTTCTAATTTTAAGTGAGATCATTTGATGGCATTACTGGGAGGTGATGGGACGAGGAGGTGGAGCATCACTGAAGGGAGTAGATCACAAAGGTGTGTCCTAGGGGGCTATGTCTTGTGCCTGCCCCTTCCTCTCTAGCTCTGTCTTCCCCACTCTGCTTCCTGGCTGCTGTGAGGTGAGTGGCTTTCCTCTTTCACACTCCTCTGCCAGATCTTCTGCTTTACATCAGGCCCAAAGCAACAGAAGCAACCAACCATGGACTGAAACCATGAATTAAACCTTTCTCCTCTAAATTATTTTTCTTGGATATTTTGTCACAGCGATTAATTAAAAAGCTAACTAACACAGTAAAGCTCTCAAAGGGCTCATCACCTGCATATTGAATTTCTCTGGGCTCGTATGACATCTTCTTCCACTCCCACACTAAGCCCATTACCTAAAAGATACAAACTGAAGGCCTTGTTTCAGATCCACTCCTTCCAGAGTCCTTCCTTGGCCCCTCCAAAATAGCATCCTTTGGCTTCCTGTTTGCACCAATGCTTGGCAGGTCATTGTAAGACAATTAACTGTAGTAATGGTGAAGTGTCCCACGCCAGAAGCCACCTGCTGGCCCCTGAGTATCTAAATAAAAGCAGGGCTGTCCTAATTTTTGTCTTCTAGATTTATGCCGAGCCTAACCCAGAGCAAGAGCTGAGCTAATATATGCGACTATTGTGTAAATGACCCTTTAGGCTCACATACATTCTGGGATTCCTAAGCCAGGCAGGCAGCTGCCAAGTTCCATTTGTCCTACAAGAGCCTGTCAGGTGCTTGCTGGGCTGAGGTCACAGGAGTCTCAGCAGATGAGACATGCCGTACAAGGGTGGCACGTGGCTTAGTAGTTCAAAGCATGGCATCAGAGTTACTTCACCTGTGTCCAAGCCCAGCCATGCAGTCATGACATTGAGTGATTTAGCTGACATCTGCCAGCCTCAATGTCCTTGACTATAAAATGGGAACAATAATAGACTCATAGAATCATTCTGAGGACTAAGCTGAGTTACAGACAGTACATTTGCATCAAGCCAGGGACATAAGAGCCTTGGTTGTTTGTTAGCTGTGTTCATTGTTACTGGCAATAATCCAAAGGAACTCACAGAAGCTATGGAAGAACCAGCAAAGCAGGCAGTAAAAGGACTGAAAGAATGATGGCTTGATGTAAGTTTAGCACACCTGGCAGTTAATCAATGACACTAACTCTGGAGAGGGGGGCCATATGTTATATTCTTCTTAGTATGATATCTGTTCTAGAACATAGTTTGAGAGCACTCATAGGTGGAAATGCAAACCCTCCATTATTATGAAAATTTCCCGGGGGCTAGGGATTTAGCTCAGTGGTTCAATGGCCTGCCTTGCAAGCGCAAGGGCCTGAGTTCAATCCCCAGTACCAAAAAAAAAAAAAAAAAAAAAAAAAA